GTGATCTTGATAAAGACATTAAATTTGAGTGGAGGGATTGTGATGCCTAATGTCACTTACAAAACATAAGCGATTTTGAAGCCCTAAAACTCTCATGCAATTGTGAATACAAGAGCTCAAGTAACTCAGTTAACCAATAATTCAAACTTGAATGTTTGAGAAATAGTTGTTTGGTTCAAAAAGTTTAGACTAATGGTTTGAGCTTGTGACCAAAATGCTACAATTATAGAACTAGACTCATATTAGCCACAAGGACAGATACTTCAAGATATTTAGCTCCCCGTTTCTCCATGCTTATGAGATGCATATAGGTTTAAATTGGGAGATGGAATCCCGAGCAAGAAATCATCTTCTGAGGATTCAGACTTACGGGCACGAAACCTGAATCTATTGTTTTATCCACCACTGATAAGTCAGCTGAGGCTACCTGAAGAAGTATGAAAGTCCAAGATTATGGTAAGATAAAACACAGGAAAACGAGCAAGTCTCCCTACTTATGATAATTTGATAAATATGATATAAAATGTGATCTTCAATGATCGATCTAACATTTCTTTTAGAGGTTGACCATCCGCACGAAAATGGAGATAGTCCAATAGAAGGAATACCGCCTGCATGAAAGCATAGAACTTTGTACATTGAGGTGCTCCACTGCTGGAGATCCAGTAGCCAAAGAAGAAAACAAGAGAAAACATGGCTTGCCAAGTAGACATTTGCAAACATCATTATACTCATCAACAGAATGTTCTCGTAACAGTTACATCACAATAAGTAGATCTGTACCTCTGGCTAGTGACCTAACAATTTCAAGATTGAGGGTTGTAACCTGAAAAACAATATGCAAATAAATAAACAAAAGCAACAAAGATGATAAATGATTGAATCCTCCTATTATCAGAGATGAAGGATCAATTACATAACATTAAGGTCTAGTAACGTAGGATAACTGCCACAGACTATACCAGGTCAAATGCAACTTCATTTCCGAGAATATAGTAAACAAGAAGCATATAGTTTTTCTTTTATTCTTCCCGAAGTATTAACGCTTACAGAATTTAATTGCATAGGCATAACATAGAACACATCTGTGATTAAATAATTTATTTGGAGAGTTTAAATGTATCTATCAAATATTTTACATATAACAAGGGTTCCCATAAATTGCTGGTTTAGATTCTTGTCCCATTAACTACACATATCCAATTTTTATCAGACTTGGCATGATTTGTGCTACTAATAATGCATAATGACAACAACATTTGAAGGAAAAATAACCCAAAAAAAAACGTTTGTGGTAGAAAATCTTACAGAAATGCGTGTAGCAACAAAACCCGCCTTGACAAGAGCTTGGTCCAACCCTCCTTTGTGAACTCCGGACTTGCTAGCCTGAAAGTGCCCAAAAGAACCTAACACCAACTACTAGAATGTGAACAATACCATCCCATATCTTTTCTTACCTGAAACCGTATGACACTTCAACCCTAAAATCCTAAACCATAGTTCCAAGTAAAAATAAGCTCATCCCTCAACTTCTCATTAAGTATTACAGACTAGAGATCATACAGCCACACTTTTCTTTGAAGCCTTCTTTTTATTATCATTCATGTAATGTTTAAATTTATGAATCTGCAATCTGAAAGAAAGGTCTTACAAGCAAGCCAAGCTATCTCACTAACCTGCACCATGAACAATAACAAATTTGCTAGACTTCACAAATTGCTTATCGCCAAAGTCATCTGCATTACAAGAAATTTCCTGACTTCCCAGTCTCTTACTCCAGTCCATGCAAAGAATTTTTCCAGAACAAGAACCCTCAATCATAGTCTGCCTTAGCTGTGATGATACAGTCTCAAGATTTTCCTCATTTATCTTCTCTAGTTCATTCTTGCATGTAATAGCTGCACCCCCTGGTATATGTAGCAGGCCATTGTTAATGACAATAAACTACATAAGAAAAAAAAAATCAATCTTTTCTATTTCCCATTTCATAAATATCTTAAGTCATTAGCCCACACACTGTCATAAAGTCCACTTTTGACTAAGTTGCAAACATAGACTGTTGCATCTCTTGCAACTATAAATACTAAACCTTCTCTAATCAGGATCTACGTGCTCATATTGCATTCCTATATATACTTTCTCATTAAAGCAAGCTCAGAATCTTCGTTTAAAACAAATCGAACTTTTAACAGTTGCCCACTGTTTATTTATCCATATGGCAAGTACACTTGATTGCTAAAGCTTATGAGTCTGACAAAATGACCAGTGATGCAAAAAGTAAATTAATGAAGAAGGCAGAGGGCATGAATCAAACAAAAATATATATGCGTAAGTTTTTCGACATGTGGGGGGAAAAATCATAAAGGAAATAGATAAAATTGAAATAGGAGAACAAACCCAGTTTTACTATGCATCGAACCGATCTGCTTTCGGTCTTTGTTTGGTTTCTATCCTCCATTTCTGCTTATAGGTTCTGGGTTGGTAATTCCTCTCTTCGGTTCAAATCTGTAAGTACGTACTCTGGCAGTGTGCTTTGCCAATTTCTGATTTGTTCCAAACACAACCTCTGTGATTTGAATTTCCCACTTCCAATAGCTAAAAGGTACTTCGCCAACCTTCAGGTGCGGGAAGAAATCCCGCAGCGTGCTTTACCAAAGTCACCGAAATTTGTTTTTTATGCATAGAGGCATTGGATTACATATGAAATCTTTTATTGGAAGGAATGATTTTTCTTTTGGTACTTCAAAAGCTTTTTGAACTCTAACCGTCCCAAATGTAACATAATAAAGTTGAATTTTCAGTAATATAAAGTAAAACAGCTTGTAAAACTTGATTCAGAAAAACAAAAAATTTACTCATTAATATATTGATAAATATATCTTGTGAAGGTAGATTAAGTCTCTTAAACCTATTGCATTCTTGTGCAAAACAAAAATTTTATGAAAATTATATTTTTCTAATTATAATAAACATAAAGAAAAAAGAACTCGAACTAATCTTTTTAAGACTCAAAAAAAATTAAGATAATATATTTTTAAACACCCATGATGTTATAATAGTAACCTCATTCATCAACATCACTATTATAATAGATATTATGTGTTCAATAATTAAACTTTTATATTGGTAAATTTTGTGAGTTAGTGCATTAACCTCATTTTATAATGAGTATCAATCAATGGAATTAATCATATTACCTTATTTTTCTATTATGTCTTTTTTGTTGCATGACACTAATCGAGCAGTAGAAGTGCTGGGTAATTAACAATCCACTAGGGTAGAAATATTGTAATTGCCACCAGGCTTGGCATTATTATCGACTATATATACATAGTTAGAATGTAACCCATAATGGTATATGAGAAAAACTTAAGAATTTCCTTTATCACCCTCATTCTCTTTACTTCCCTTTTTCCTCTTCCCTCATTCCCTCTCCTCTCATTCTCTTTGTCTCTCGCTAACTAACTCTCATTCTCTTCTCTCATGAGTTAAGTTTTTGACAACTTAGTTTCAAATTTAGATTAACAGACACAAAGAACCAGAAAAATAAAGGGTCGTAACCAGGAAAAAAAACAACAAAAATGCCAACTTTTCATTAGAAAAACATATGATTTTATTGTGATGTTCAGATTGGTTGATATTACGAAAAAAATATTAACATAGTATCAATATTGAGTGCAAGAAACACAACCCATAGTGATCTCCAATAAGAATCATTATCACAGTAGAAATTATTCGTCACCTTAACAAATAA